ATGTCATTGCTTATCCAAGCATACACCTCTGTCATCTACAATGTATTGCCTATACATGGGAATTTAGTCGCTGTCTTCCTCTGGAATTGGAAGAGCTCTCGAACGAAGAAAAGCCGAGTCGGGTTTGAGGTCATGTCACTTAGCGTAAATTTCTTCCTGGAGAAGAGCGCTAGAGGCTCAGACTGAGTTGTCTTTGTTGGCACGAGGATAGGGCCACACGGAGGAGGTGAAAGAACTGCTAGCCTGAGTCTCCAATTTTTTATGAATATTCTCCGCAAGGTGGGGTCGAACGACCTCAGGAAAAAAGCAGACTTTGTCTTTACTTTCAAATTGAACGCGTCGCCATTACGCTGTAGATGTTGATCTTCTTCAGTGACCCTAGTATACTGGGCGGCGGTTCCCAGCGCATGGTTCCTCTCGTATTCCACCAATTATCTCGAAAAGGCGGACTTGAAGGAGGTTCGGCTTTTTGCTGTCAGAACTCCCGAATCGTTCATGCTAGGCTACTGCTCCTTGGAGATTTGCTAGTACACTCCACCCAGTCCACAACCCTGGTGAATATGCTGGATGATCACTGTAAGGAACTAAGGGAGATCAGAAGGAACATGACGATGTCAGATCGTGTTTGGAGCTGATTCGGGCTCAGAGCATGTGAGATACAAACCCATATTTCCAAATCTTTACGACTCTACGAAGATGCCTACATTCCATCATCTTAACAAGCCGGACATGCTCTGGCAAATAGCGACTAGTTTGTCCAGATCCATTCTCAGTGGCGCTGGGTAGAGCAGTGAGATTGCCAGTCGAAGGGTACTTGGAGTAAGGGTGATCTCCAAAAATGAAAAAGCCAACCCCGGAATAGAGTGAACCATAATAGGTGTATATTAGATTGAGGAGCGTGCCCTCGCCTATCTGCTGGTTGATCCACTATGTTGTTTGGCGTTTGAAAGATCCTAATCAGAAGTGATGAAGAAGGAAGCTCAAAAATAGGTTCCAGAAAAATTGATGTAATAGCCACGTAAGGCAGCGTGTAAATGGGCTGACTAATGCTCAGGTAGGATAATGTGGTGCTACTTCGCAAAACATGTTTCACGCCTTTACCATTTTTCTTGGATTTTTTATAGCAATAAATGTAAAGCGATTCACTAATTATGGGACAACCTAATAATAGTGGTGAAAGCTCAGTTACCCTCGAAGGCAGCACAACATCA